TTCACTAGCAATGAAAGCCTGATGTAACAGTGGTGTCGAAAAGAGTTACATGGTAGACACCCTAATGAACTATCAGGCAGAACATAAATTTTTAAGAATCTAACAGATTGACACGTGGTTTACCAGAAACAGAAGCTTTATGATAGCCATTCAAGATCAGGTTATCGCAACAAGAAATTTCTTACGATATATAAGAGACCCCTCTATAGTAAGTGATGAATGTAGGAGATTCGGTGCACGGCACGAAAACCTCCAGCACATCGGTGCCGGTTGTAGTGTGTTGGATTTCACCGCCTGTAAAGTTAGGCACGATAATATGGTAAAATAATTCATGGACGGTTAGTATTAAAATACGGACTTGAGTCCTTTAATGTTCCATATTACAAATTGGAACATTAACAAAATTCTACAATCTTGGGAAATGAATATAAGCTATACTGTGACATAAGCTTAATTACAGACGTCACAGTTCCAAACAATAGGCCAGCTATAATACTAAAAAAGCTCCAGAAAACAACCATTATCGATTTGGCAGTCATCAACAATAACTATCTAGAATCCGTTTATAACTTGAAAATTCAGAAATGTGTACCTCTGACTCAAGAACTTCGCCATCAGTGGAGTCGTGAGAATATCGGTATGTTACCGATAATTATGTCCATCACAGGATTAATACCAACACACACAGTGCATGCAATTCAAGTATTGGAATTACCATTTTCATGCGTAGAGCAAATACAGAAAGCAGTAATACTGGACAGCTGCAGAATAGTAAGAGAATTCCTCGGACGTTAAGCTGATTGGACACGATTGATTGAAATGTCAAAAGAGTAACATTCGCTCGTGTCTTGTCTCTGCGAGATCGACCTAGATTAGACCAGCAATGGTCAGGTGAATGTTCCTGAACATAGTGCAGAGAGTGCATTAATAATATCTTCTTCTCGGGAGTATTATACGGCTCTTGCGGCCGCCTCTAGAATCCCAATCTCCATACCACTCTTCCAGTCATTCTCTTCTTGATCTCTTCTTTGTATATCGTTAAAAATAGGTTTCTGCTATTCCTCTGTAGGTCAAACTTTTTTTTCTGGCAATAGGAAACCACTCACAAAAACCTCTCTGTGCCATCTCCCACTAGTCTTTACGCGTGACTGAACGATTTCAGCCTTCGTGTTTCCAATTCATCTATTACACTTGTAAATACACATACCCCACTTCCACACTGTGTGTGCTAAAATTTGGGAGCATCAATGGCAAGTGGACTTAAAGTATTTTATTTACTGGTATTAGTTTCCTGTAAAATAAAATAAATTTGTTATATAAATGAAATATATTAAATAACTGTAAATCACATAATTTCTCATTAAAATGTTTTAAAAATTCACAGAATGAAACATTTATTCAGCGCCCTGAAAGTTTTTGTAAATAGATTTTTTGGAGTGAGAAATGCTATAGCAGTTTCGCTGCATGTTCCAACAGTAGTCTGCCTAATGAGTGTATCCCATTTCCTTAGCGTCTCTCTACCATTGGTGAATATCTTGATTAATTCGTTCACCTTACTCCACTTAGATCCCCAAGTGAAGGATAGCGTTCCAAGTAGCTAAGTAGGTAATGGACATTAATACTCAATACAGCCAAGCACATGTAAATTGGAAAGCATTGTTTCTAGTAATTGTAAAGAATTTTCTGCTTTGCTAGAAAGTTTTTCACAACTAGAAAAAAAGAAGACCAGGCACTCGATTCAATTTCGCTCATGGATTCCAAGAAATTTCAATAATTTACGAGCTTTCTTATTTGAGAGCCATCGACAATTCCTGCTTTCAATTTCTCGTTGGTTACTCTCGGGAATGTACGTAATATACACTGGAATCACAAACCATTCCATACCTACCTGCGATTTATGCAACTACCCTTGGCAGATATCATCTCTTTACGGTTTCATCCAATCGGGAGCTTGAACGTCACCATAGTGACGTCACTATGGTGACGTTAAAGCTGCCGATTGGATAAAACTGTCAACAGCTGATACCTGCCAGGGGCAGAGGTGCAAAAATAGCTGTGTAACGATAGTGCAAATTGTTTCATCAAGATAACTCGATATGCAAAGAGGAAGAATAATTTTCTCTTGAGCAAGTAAAGGTAAATCACATTGTTTTCCCCTACAACTATATCTTTCCTCAAGGGACAAGTTTTTCTCAACCAATACTCACTTTTGGCGCTGCTGTCTCAGGAATATAGAGCAGGGATTTGAAACATTTACTTTCTCGCTTACGCAGTAGAGAGAAAGTTATGTAATGCTGGGAGAAAGAACATGGAAATTTTGGCACCAAAACTTTTTTTTGCTCTGGTAACGAAAACGCAGATTAATTTAGTTGCTAAATTTAGAGAAAAAGTCCTCTAACACGTGATGTAGCCAGAATCAATTTTTGGGATCCTTGATACCGAAAAATCGGTTGACGGCAAAACGATCGTCTGTTCGTCCTGCATATGTGAACAACACCAACACCCAAACCATGCTTAGGATTTTTTCTAAATTGAAGAATCCCTTGTCGTTCTGGCGTGGGTCGAAGCTCTGAGATTCTGAAAACTTCAGTAATTTTTGGGGGTACTTTACAAGAAATCCTTGGGACATTTTCACAATTTACTCAAAAATTGGTCCAATTTTTTTCTAAAATTTCTTGTAAGTATACTGTATGAGGTGAAATGAACGCCATATTGCTCTAACCTTTTGTTTTTTCAAAAAATACAAAAATGTAATTTTTTGACTTCTCTCACGTCGACAATATTTGCATTAGCAACAATTTGTTCACATTATTGCATTTACTAGTTACATTTAAAAGATGTTTTATTAAGTTTTACAAAAACTCAAACGTTTTTTGTGAAATCGAGCTCAAAATTCCTTATTTTCAGGAACGAACTGAGCATTGCTGAACTAACAATGACAGCTAATTCATACGAGATACATTTTGCAAATTAGCATTGTTGATACCCCTTGCAAGAAAATGAAAATGGATGCAAAAATATCATAAATAAATATAATATTGCTATATTCATCAAAACTATCCGGTTTTTACTCGCATTACTTATTTCCACATTATTATGTAAAGGGTAATCATTTATTCGTTTTCACGTTTAACTCAGTTAAAGATCGAATTTAAATTAGGTTTTAAATAAATTATAAAAGATTAATTTGAAGACTTATAACAAAAGCTCGAATGTATGAAACAAACAAAGAAATATGAAATAATATACAAATTCTAACTTACGGAGCATAATGCTGGAATTACCTCTATTACGTAAACGAAGTGCAGCAAATTGGGTGTAGGCTCTTATATTTATCACGAAATTACACAGAAAATACTCATTTTCCGAAACATCAATATGACCTTATTTGAAGACCTTGTTTTCTTTCCCGTATACATAAATGCGGAGTAATTTACGCAGTATAGGGATAGTTATGTAATGCTGCGGAAAATCGATACTGCAACGTATATTAAGTCCGTATACACGAACGTATGCGGAAAAATAAAATTTGCCTGTTTGATAAAAATTTCGCCAAAAATACTCGTTTTTTGAAAAATCGAACATGATAATATTTGATGATTTGTTGATGAACACATTTTATTAAGGGAAAAAATGTACCTTCATAGTTGTAGTTGTAGGAAGACTCCGAACAAATTCAAAATTTGTTCGGAGTCTTCCTACAACTACAACTATAAAGGTACTACAACAGTGAATTTTTAATTTTCGAAAAGTCAGGGTTTTCTAAAAACATGAGACCTGCACCATTTTTTTAAACGTCCTTCTGGTTATCCAACAACTAAATTTCTTCAAAAACGATGGAGACGTTTTGAGACAAAATGTTTAAACAAAATTAAAAATTCCTATATTTTTCTGAAAACTATGCGAAAAATACAGTTTGGAAAAATTTTACTTGTCCTTATTTCAAATTATATATTTAGGGAACAGATTTTATTAAGAGAAATAAATTCTATCCGTAATATTTTAGTTGTAGGAACACGCCGAAAAAAAATTGAATTTTTTCAATACTCGGAAAATCAAATTTTAAACGAACATGAGACCTGCACCATTCCCTTAAACGTCTTTTACACTATCCAACAACAAAATTTAATAAAAATCGATGTTTCTATTCTTTTGAAAATTGTGAGAATGTTTTAGGGGCTTCATGTAAAGTACTCTAAAATTAAAATATCGGTTTCACATTCAACGGGCCGCGACATCAACCAGATCGATCGAAGAATGTCAATTTTGGAGCAAATCGACAGAATGGTGTAGCCGGTAGCGTTGTTCACAGAGGTTTTGACGTCTATCAATTTTTCAGTAACAAGGACCTACAAAACGAGGATTCTATCTACACCACTTGTTAGAGGTTTCTTCTTCTCAATTTAGCAACTGAATTTATCCACTTTTTCGTTACCAGGGCCATGTAATAAACAGTTTTTTCTCCCGAAAATTTGCTGTTTTTTCGCGCAGAACTTTCTACCACGGTACTGGTAGCGGGAAAGTAAAAATGTGTTGAAATGTGCGAAACAGAACCTATAAAATTTGTAATCTCAACTCTGAAAAGTCGGGGAAAAAACTTGAATTCAAAACACCATCGCTGGCCACTGGCCATCGGTATATGATTACTTTTCTTCTCTCCCACTATTTTTTTCGAGGAAATTGATCTTTAATCCTACTTTTTGGTGTGTTTCCGCAAGCTTTTGATACTCCATATCAAACTCATTGGACAAAATCACCTGATTTTCGGCGAATAATGTATGAAGGCAATCTTCATCAATGCATATTCCCATAACTCGACCGTCTTTTGAGATTTTCTTGGAGTTAAATGTGAAACAAAATAGGTGATAAACAGCATCCGTGTCTTAGACCCTTTGTTCAAATGACTGTGAAACTTCATTACCCACTTTTGTTGTATCTTGATTCACATACCAATCTTTTACTGCATTTATATATTGAACGCTGATATCAGCCTTTTCCAGAATTTGGAAGAGTTTACCTAATGGGTCCATATCATAAGCTTTTTCGAAGTCGATAAATTCAAGGTAAGTCTCTATTCCTTGCTAATCTCTTTTCTAGTACCTGCTTTATTGTAAATGTTATCGATACAAATTCTACCAACCGTAATCCCACTTTGCTCCTCTTCTGTATTAAATTCCATTTCAATTGTTTTAATAGTCAGCCATATAGTCTTGATGAAGCATTTATACTTCTATAATTTTTATACTCCTTTTTTGTGAGTTGATGTTAAATAAGCTTCCATTCCCTAGGAAACGTTTCTCCTCGCAAACGCTTCTTAAAAATTATTTGTAGTATTTTGGTTGGATCATTTTTCAATAGTTGTACAGGAATACCGTTACGGCCGGGAAATTTACCATTTTTCATCGTTTTGTGGAGTTCATCTCCGTTAAATTTATTTCTTCTACGTTATGAGCACGTGTAATGTCCAGTTGTCTGTTGATTTCGTGCAGTGCTTCATTGAATTCGTGTCTATTCTCTTCAAACATATGTAATATTTAACCCATTCGTCCATTTCTAACCGTCGTGGGTTGGACCACGTCCTGAAGGGGAGATGCAGGGAGGGCTCTGAAGTATTCCTTTCTTTCACCAGTTATCTTTATCTTCCCCATCGTTAATTCTCGTTCTTTGATAACATTCTGCCTCTTTTCTTCTCCTATTTCACTGCCCCCCTGTATGCTGAACGTGCACACGTGCATGGCGACCCGTATCAGAGGGGATGTGTGTCCTGGCAGTTGAGAGACCTGTCTGTTTCCCAACTACTCCTTGTGCTACTTTCTACTTTGCACTACGTTGTTCACGTATTTTGGGGTACATGCCTTGTAAGTTTCCAACACACTTGCTCTGCCCTCGGGCACTTCTAGACGGGCTGTCGGGAGCTAACACACCCCGATCAATCGGCCCGGACTTGGTCTTGTACTGAACTCCAGGATGAGCGGGGAGGGTATCCACGGCGGGGCAGCGCTGTCATCCCCCGCTATATCTCCGTGACAACCCTGGCCCTCCGATGGAGTGTCCCCTTGTTGGGCTCCATGGTGGGTGGGGACCACAGGGAAGACTCTTATATTCATCTCCACGGATACTAAACCTCCCCCGCCCATTTCTGCAGGGAAGAGATGTCCGGAACGAACTATTGATTTTAATAGTATTTTCTTTCAAGCGAAAGATAATCCGAAGAAGCCTCGTTTCCTCCGCATGGCATGCGATGGTAAGGTAAATCCTTTAAAATGTTTAGTGATGTCTGTTTGGCGCGCGCTATTGAGGCAATGTATGGGAAACAAGCCGTGGCTCGATAAAGAAATTGTTCCATTCTTTTCGAAGGACGCACGGATAAACAAATAGAAAAGATGAAATCTTAGCAGATTGCCGGCCTCCAGGTGGAAGTGACCACGCACCCAACTCTTAACCACTCCAAGGGAGTGGCTAACCAAGAAGACTTTGCTGCTGAGACTACGGAAGAACTAGTCGCGTTTTTTATGTGCCAGGGTGTGAAGGACGTTTACAGGATCAAGAGGAGGGAGTATAGGCGAGACTTCCCAACTTATACCCTGATTCTGACTTTCGATCTTCCATCTCTCCATTAAAGGATCTCCTGCGGTTTCTGTAACCTCCGCGTATGGCAATGCGTGCTGAACCCTTTGAAGTCGTTCAAGTGCCAAAGGGTCGGTCATTAAAACAGCGGTGCATGGCAGATAGCCTGATGTGGGGAAAGTGCGTAAAATCGATGCACGAAGCTGAATCCTGCGCTACACCACCACAGTGTGTAATTGGGGAAGGTATCTGTCCAACTCCAAGCAATTTCCTACCAGTATGAGGGAAAGAGAGATCTAAAAGATCAGAATCGCTGAGATGTCCTTCCCTGAGGCCAAACGTCGGTCCCAGGCAAAGAACCCTGTTGACGTTTCTCGGTCCTTCTCTAGCGCCACGAAAGCAATGCCCCAATAGTAGTAGCAAGCTGCCAACCTGCGATATCGCACCCCTGAAGGTGGGATAGTGATCATGCCTACCAAATAAAAGAAACCTGTCAAAAAAACAGCCGACACAGTCTACTAAATCTTGTTCATACAATCTCTGGATGGAATCGATGCTATTAGATCATTATATTAAGTGCTCCTCGTCAAAGGCCGAGAATCTAAATCTTCGAATATTCACTTCGATCAAGCATCTAGTTACCCTGGTAGTTTCCAAGAGGATTCTATCTGGGAGGAAACTCCCGTTGGGGAGGAAACTCGCCCAAACGGGACCGAACGCCGACAGAAGGAAAAAGAAATAACTTAATACTATCATTTCTCTATCTTGAAATATGGTCTCTCCTCACGACGGGACGAGTTGAAACTGTTGTCTCGTTATTTGCCTTCAATATTCTGTTGACACGAAACGCATCTTGTTCCACCACGACCCCTAGTTGCAACTTTAATCCATGACTCGCTGCTCTACAGGCGTTCCAGTTATGATCGAGCTCCAGTGTGTGTGCAGGTGAACCTCCCATCCCTCACTGTCTGTAACATTTATATCCCACCAGGGCAGAGTGTATCCGCCGATGAACTTTTGGGCCTGATATTCCAACTGCCTTCTCTATTCTTGGTAGTATGTGATGAAAATGCCCATAATTTTCTCTGGGGTTCATCCCGCCCCCTGCAATAGGTAATATATTGTAATCGGTGATGGGCACATTGAACTTGATAATTCTAAACTCAGGTGAACCTGCTCATTTGGCCGTCGCCACAAACTCAGCACGTGTCTGGATCTGGCTCTCTGCAGCCCATGACTGTCCCAAATCCAGAAGAACTCCATAACCTAATGATGCATCTTCCTGACGCGGGTATGCAATTTCTCCGGCTCTACAATCTTATCTGGAAAAACACTCCATCCCTGCTAAATGGCGAGAAGCCATCATTATCCCAGTTCCCAAAGGAGGGAAAGATCTATTAATTGCAATTGAATGCATGGTGAAAAAGCGGTTAGTCTGGTCCTTGGGGTGTAGACATCTGTTTATCCCAATCCAAAGCGGGTTTAGAAGTCGGTCAATCTTAGACCACCTCTTTGCGTTGGCAACAGCAATCTCGAAATCGTTCGTCTTGAGGCAACACGTGGCCACATCATTTGATATAGAAAACGTCTTCTACACCACTTGGAGGTACGCCATTCTGCAAACCATGCACTGCTGGGTATTTAGAGGGAAGATCTCTTATTCCTCCAGAACTTCCTTTCGAACAGGTACTTCTGTGTTCGTGTTGGTGACAGACTTATTAGCAGTCACCATCTAGAAAATGGTATCCCTCAAGGATCGGTTCTGAGTGTCACTGTTTGCCATCGCCATAAATGGTATTGCGTCGACCGTGCGAGAACCTGTAAGGGTGTCGCTGGTTGTGGATTTTGCTATCTTTTGTTGGTCCAGCAGCATCAGTGTGATCCGGAGGAATCTTCAATTGCTGCTCAACAAGCTCCACAAATTGAGTATGTCAACAGCATTCAAATTCTCTCTTACGAAATCTATTGTGCATTTCTGCAGGATATGCTACTTGCATAGCAATCCAGTCCTTAACTTGGGAGGAAATCAGCTTCCATTCGCCGAATCTGTCTGGTTCCTGGGGCTCTCGTTTGACATCGTGGCGCGATCATATCTGCAGACTACAAATCACATGTCCCCCCTTAATCTTTGTATGGTGAGTGGTTCCTCATGGGGAGCCGACCGCATTACCTAATTGCAGTTAAATATAACACTCGTACGCTGAGGTTTGCATTACGATAGTGAAGTTTATCTGGGATCTGCAGGTCCCTCCACTCTCCGACCATCAACACTATACACCAAGTTGGTATCCACCTCTCAGCAGGTGCGTAGCGCACTAGCCGAATCGAGTGCTTTCTAGCTGAGGTTGGAGAGACATCCTTAAAAAAAGAGATGTTCTGTGTTACGTCTTATGGTACTAACGTGTCAGGACTTAAACCATCCTTGTCGCCAAAGAATTATCAATCCTGAATATGAGACTTTATCTACTCTTCGAACATCACTACCTCAGTCTCCAGGTATTCGATTGTGAAATATTTTGCTTGCCTCACTGTCAGACTTCCCTCCGCTGTGAAACCCCCTTAAAACCTCATCCTACCTTGAAACCCCTCTCCCGGCCCAATGTTGACCTCAGAATCTCATGTCTCCTGGACAAACCACTAGTCACTTTGTATACCAGATATACCCTCAGGAAATGAGGGTAGTATATACGGGTCATATATTCTTGCACACACGTTTCGTTGTGTTTTTAGTGCAGAAATGTGTGCAATTCTTGAAGCCCTAAAGTACATGAAGTCAGCGTCGCTGCGGTGAGTATTTCTCTTTTCTGATTCTCTCAGCTCTCCAAGCTGTTTCCTGTTCTTTCTCAGAATAGCTGACGAAATCAGTGCAAAACCTGATTCATCGTCTTCTGTCTCGCCACTATGATCTGGTACTGTTGGGTCACAGGCCATGTAGGAATCGCAGAGAATGAGCTGGATGACCATTTGGCGAAACCAGCGATGCGGAAAACTCGTATTGACATTTCTTCTGTACCATCGTCCGATGTTGAGGCTTTTTTGAAACGATCCATCTTTAGAGCGTGGTAAACAGTTTACCAAACAACACCACTTTACCACATTTAAACTAAGTGTGATAAAAGGATCCTGTTAATCCCCGGCGTTTCTCATTCCGACCATCTAGGCGTGAGAAAGGCATTTTAACCTGTCTTCGAATGGGTCACTGCCAATTTTCTAATAGTTTTCTCCTTCGAAGTGAATCTCCCCTCAAACTCCGATTCGTGGAGGAAGGTTGTTGCTGTGGAACACGTCCTGCTGCATTATACGGAATTCGATGGCAGTCGACGAAGACATGGCCTGGGCAACTCCTTATGGCAGATGGTCGACGATGATTCCGTGCTCTCAAAGCTTTTTTTGAGAAAACGGAATGTATAGTTTTATTTAAGAGATAAGGGCAATGTGTGTGTTTCGTGACACCCCTTTACACCCTGCGCTAGGTTTATTATAAATATTTTTGTTCTTTCATTGTCCTGACTTTTGTTGTGCGCTTATATATTGTATGTGGAATTGAGTCTTTTGTAGGCAATGTACACGCATTTAATCAGGGGATAAGTTGTATTGCAACTTTCCCTTTTATTATACTTTGCCACCAATGTCCTCAGTAGTGTGCCAATTACCTCAGTAGTTTAAGTGCTCTCTAAACCTTCACTCAACCTCCACACAACGCTCACTCACTCGAAAATTATTTTAAGACAATTTTAAGCATATTTTGTCCAATAAACTACTTGACTATTCTGAATGGCTGTGCCGGAATAAGTACTCAAAAGTTGGTTTGATGCAAATTTTTGTCGCGAATGTATTTTTTCAAACCAACTTTTGGGTGCTTATTGCGGCTCTATTCAGAATATCCAAGTAGCTAATTTGACAAAATATGCTTAAAATTTTCTTAAGAGCTTATTTTCGACGTTTTCTCGCCGGACATTCTGTATAAACCTAAGGTTTACAAAAATGAGGGTAGACCTATTATGAGAGGTGGTCAGAGCAGGTCTGACTGTCGAAACGTAGCTTCCAACCCTTATCACGGAAGAAGAATGTCTCCAAAACTTCAGTGTTAACTCGAAAAACACCATTCTCGTGCAAAATTTTAATGTTAATTCTCCCCCAATTTTGTTATATTGTAATTGTAGACCAAAATATTACATCAAATGTCTCACTTCTATGTAATTATGAGAAATAAAGTAGAAAACAAAGGCATATATGTGAAAAAATCGATATTTTCAGACTTAGAAAGAAAATCGCGAGCGCATCAACTCTGGAAGTTTCTGTTGGCAGGCGACCATTCAGGGAGGGGCAACTGCCAAACCGTCCACAACAAAAACCCTACCACTCGAACAAAAGGGCGAGGGCCAACCACGTGAATCCCTCTGTCTCTTTATCAGTAGTCAAAAGGATCCCATTTCGAAGGAAGCTCCCGGCGGTGCCACGGACTGGCATGGGCATATATGGACCTCTTCGATGCGGGAGCGCGAGGGGAGTGGGAATTTCATCGGTGGGCCTTGTAGGTCTTTGAGCCGCCGACAGATGGCTATCAAGAAAGGATGGGAAATCCGGAAAGGTAGCACTACTCAAAAGATAGGGGAGTCAAATAGTACGAGAAAGTGTGTCAATTTGTACCACCACCAGTGTATACTGTGTACTAAAATGTTGCTTGCCAGTAAAATTAGTATTTACATTTTTTATTATTTTCTAATTCTTTCTATTATTTTCTATTCGCGATGTTTGTGTGTGTAAGAGCTAATAAATTTATTTCATTGACTTTCAGTCTAATTCATTCCGTAGAGGTCCTGCTAATAGGAAGCAGTCAGGACAGAAACCTCATCTTACTGAAGAAATGAAACGTGACATGAAAGAGGCATTTGAATTATTTGATACAGAAGGAAAAGGACAAATTGATATCAAAGAATTAAAGGTAAGTGATAGAGGCACTGACATTTTTAATCCTTTATTTTTCAACGACTTTGTTAATTTTCTCATTTTTCTTTTAAATTCTATTCATAAATAGTATACTATGTAATGTTTAAATGCGTTGTCTGATGACCTGGCAACATGAAAATGTGATGCGTTTATACATAACATGTGTTAGTAACTTAGCCACTCAAAAAAAGTTCATGGAATTTTCTTTTGGGGCATTGGCAGGCAATACACGTTTTTCTACGTTTTTTAATTGTCATGTACATGAATGTTTGTGAAAATTGCAACACAAAAAAAGAGAATACTTTTACAATGGAATTTATTTCACAGATTAGGAATATCGCAATACAAAATTATTGGAATTTCAGAACTGTACATGCATTTTGTCCGTGGGTCTTTAGTACGGCGGGAAGCAGCCACAAGCTGCCATCGGAGCCTCTAGACGTCGTGGCATGGATTCAATGAGAGCCTTAATATGCTGCTGGGGAGCACATTGCCACGCAGTTTCTGAAGGGGAGTAAAACGAACACGTTGCTGACCGAATACATCCCAGACATGTTCGATGGGTCACAAATGAGGCGAAGACGCAGGTCAAGGAAGCAGTGGAACCTGTCTTTCTTCGCAGTAAGCTTGCGCATTCTCTGCACGCCATCTCTGTGCAAATTTAATCACTTCTGGATATACTGTTTTACACATCCACCGATTTTTACGTGATTCCGACCATTTCCTCTGGGTAATGCAATTTTCACAAACACCAGTGTATGTATAAACTCAGTGGTTATCGCAGAAATGTTGTGGAGATCCATATGGATTGGAAAAAAGGAGTAATGTTCCACAATAATGTTTTTACACTAAATACAGATCTTACGCTCTCGCATACATGTTTCGAGAACTTTTGCCATCATCATCATCATCATCATCATCATCATCATCTATGCTCCCTCTCAGATATATAAAGGAAAATATATTGCATGTATCGCGCTGACCTCACGATTCTGACAGGCGCTTGACCGAGCCATTTCGCCTAACTTCACCTTCAGCCCGTCCCAGCCTTCGAATTCGTCACACAACAGCTCTTTGTTTGTGCGAGGATGGTGAGTGCTATAAATCCTCGGTCATTCGTTACGTATTAAAAACTAACACCCAACGCGGATCCACCCCTCCGTCACAAAGGAGACATTGTAGCTGCTCCACGAGCACCGAAGGAAGCCACGCTCTGCTGTAGACTTTCATCTTTGCGACTGACATTTCGATACCCTGAAGCGCCAAATTACGGAAACTAAATAGCTCCAAGCCCCCGTTATCCCTTAGGACCCAATGCAACACCATCACAGTAGCATACGCCGCTGCTGTTTCTCCGACTCTTCTCCAAACGGCTGAGAGAAAACAATGCCAGCCTGTGGAACAGTTTCTGAGAAACTAGGTCACTAAAAAGGATGCTCTTAACCAATGAACGTACCATCCACTGTAGAACCTTCTGGAACACCCGAACGTAGCCAATAGAAGGATAATTTCGAACGCACGTGATCGGTCAACTGCGCGCCAGAAAGGAGATGCAAGATTTCGCGAGGAAGCTGCGTGCGCGTTGAAAAAAGCTTTTCCGTACAGAAATTATCCTGCCGAGTATGGACGAATCTCTTCTTAGAATTTAGGGCTTTATTCCGCAGAGTGCGGTCGAAATTCTGCTTTACATTTAGAATTAATTCCGTGTAGTACGGATGAGAAGTTCAGCCGTTCGACTAGCACCGCCAGGGGTGCGCTGCATATCACTAAAGGCAACGTAACGCGGCAAGGTGGCGTGTGACGGCCTCCTTCAGCTTCAGTATCGCATCCACACCCTCATCAAAACGCCAAAAGGGGCTTCGTCGATAGACTGGTTGCGCGCTGACCCCGCCGGTCGAATCATCACCTGGGGAGCTCGAAGCAGCCTCCAATACCGGGGGGGGGGATGCCTTTGTCATCGGGGCGCTGTCTGGCGCATGCATCCCAGGCAACGGTTTTCCAGTATTCGGGCGTGCGTCAAGGCGAAGTAACCCCGGTCAAGGTAACACACCGGGCCGCTTACTACAACCCTGTCCCCACAAATACTGTCAATTCATCGGACAGCGAAAGTTACCCAGTGATTTTTCCATATAAGTCAATGTAATACTTATTTCCTCAAACTCAGAAATAAACGTGCATCCGAGACTTTGACAGCTTGCGCTGAAGTGGAACTATAAAGTGTATGATTAACAGTAGGAATAGCAAACACCTGCATCTCTCTACGATCCAGAGTTGTCCCCTCCCCCCGAGGTTCTCCAGCCGGCACCTGGAGAGCAGCTTTGTATTCCGCTTGGCGCCTGTAGAAATTCAGCGTATGCAACCAGAGTTCCATTACATTTTGGAACCCTATATGTGTTACATTACACTTTAGTGTCGACATTGGGTTCATTAAATGTATCAGTATATATACAGAAGAATTAACGTAACTTTACAGAAGAATAGAATGAAATAATACCGTTAAATAAAATCAATTAAAACTAAACACCCATGTAACATGGTACAATTCAAGACACTAAGTGTGCACCCGGCGCCATTTTGTGTTCTGGGCGGCTTTGGAATCTAATTAGGAAAGGATGGAGGGAAGGATTTGGGGATGTTAAGAATATGTAATAAAATACTATGTTTTACGTTGGTTGGTCACCAAGGAAGGAGAGAGAAGGAATGATTCCTAAGTTTTGAATTTCAAAGTTTCGTTTTTGCCCTTTGTTTTCATTAGGGGTCGAAAGTATGATTATTTTCAAGGAAAAGTGAGGCGAATGTGGATTTATTCTAATGGAATTTCCATGCTCTTAATGGTTTCTAATTCTCTGAGAGAATTTCCTCCCAGTCTGTCCTATGTATACCGAATTGCAGTCGTTTAATTCAGGTTATAAACACCACTCTTATCTAATTTAGAAATGGAGTCTTTATTGTTGGGGAATATTTATTTACTTTACAAATGCTATTGTAAGAAATTTGGATATTTGCCTCTTTGAGGTAATCTTTAGAAATGCACAATTAGAATGTAGGATTCAACAAATATTTTTTCACTGTACGTTCTTGCTTCTGCTTACGCATTATAGAGAAATCATTAGAATGCTGCGAGGAAAAAGGCTAATTTTCAACAGAAAGACTCTTATTGGCGAGCCCTGGTAGAGAAAAAGAGGGTTAATTTGGATCACCGTCACAAAGTTCATTACATTGCCACGTTCGGAATGCTATTGTGATTACACCTTTGCACCATTCACTGCCCAAGCCCACAAGAATGTCATGTTAAAATTCCGTAAATTCCGCAAATTCCGCAAGTTCCGCGGAAATACAAAAGCACCAATTTACACTACTCGACTGCTTTTTTTTTTATTTCTGGGTGAATACTCGTCAGCATTTTTTAATTTTATCGTTAAGTAACGCCTACGCGAAGCGTTGTAGGGCATTAAGAACTAAAAGTTTGAGGTCTCAACGACCCCAGATGCTCGAAGGCCTCAATGAAACGTTTCTTACGTCGTAATCTACAGGATGAGGTGTTGAACATTTACTTTACTTCTAGGCTGTCCGGGTGACGCCGCGTCGTTGGACGACGTTGACACCAACGACGCGGCGTCACCCGGACAGCCTAGAAGTAATGGACTCGAGCCGCGGAAGCCTACGTGAACATTTACTTTTTCTGGTCCGCCGCTTCTCGAGATTGACTCGCCTGCTCAGAGACGTGCAGACTCTGCAACTAACTGTAAATGAGAGAAACAGACCCAGAGGCAGAGTCAAGAGGCAGGGACAGTGAGAGACGGAGGGGGAGAAGCGGAGAGAGCAGGCGAAAGAGAGAAATGAAGGGCAAAACGTCTACCGGGTTCCGTTAGTTTATTATATATATATATATATATATATATATATATATATATATATATATATTCCGGAGCAATTTCGTAACAAACAGACCACGGACAGCGCCCGATCATTGTCCTATCCTCTCCCCTTACTTACACACACACACACACACACTAACATACACTACCACACATACCGGGAAACCGGTCGGAAGTTAGAACTTGTCCCAACTGGGGCGATGCCTCGCTGATGGGAGATACCTGGTTGCAGAAACCCCACTAGCTGACAGGTCGGCGCCAGATCTCGCCATTCAGCGGGCGAAGACCACCTCACATACCGCGGGGGGGGGGACATGCGCTACACATACAAGACTAATGGCCTTAACAGTTGACGCGCCCGAAATCACTAGCAACCAATGGACCAAGTAAATAGAAGTAGAGTAAATTTCGAAAAATAAGTTACTGTAATTTAAAATTATTAATTAGTTACAGTTAAGAAATTAGAAGAGAATTGATAATTAAATGTAACTTCAAATTAACTCCTCCCCATACCACGTCACACACAGTTTTTAACTGTTTTTGACGTAAATAAATCAAAAAATAAATAAAATATTCCCCAGGCGTATATACTAAACGAATCATCCATTGTTGCTGTAACAACGTCACGCTGGCAACAGGCTGTAGCCGTAGCCACCACTACCGCCACCGCTGGGTCGTATTATTAATTTCTAATTTTTTCAGGCTAAAATGGGAATTTGTGTTGATGTATGAGCTTTATAAGATTGGTTTTCACTTTCCATGGTCTACGATTTGTAGCGAATTTCACAAGTAATGACTGAGATATGTTAATATGGACAACAATTGCGGAACTATAATATTACATATCTAGTTGTCTAAGGCGTGTCCATAAGTAAACATGGAGCCAGATAATGGTGTTGTAGTTGGTGTTCTTGATACAGTGTGGTGGTTAAATTTGTGTAATGCTCTTGAATATTCAACCTTAGTAAGGTGGATTTTAATGACAATCTAGCATAAATTAATTTTTTTCTAATGATGGTGCCTCTTTTTCATGTACTCAGTATATTTAGTAGACGTACATCGTGACGGGGGGAGGGGGAGATTCTCATGTATTCCTTTCTCTATCTGCCATTGCCTT